CACATAGTACCATTCAGTCAGTGCAAAAAAAAAATAAAAATAAAATAAACTAGAATCAGCTCAGCAGTCTTATTTTCCAGAACAGCCACAGATGTGCAGCTTCTTGTGCCTTGAGTTTTACTTAGCATTTATTTCTAATCCAGAAATGATTCAAAACCTAAAATTAGATGATGACATTACATTCAGCTAGAATCAATTTCTCACATCAGACGTAAAAAGAAATATTTTAAACTGTTTTCACCCATGTTTTCCACATTCAGGGAATTGCTTTGACCTTCTGTATTCTGTATGTCTTAAATTATGATGACAAATTTAAACAGCTGGATTTACAAGCTGGTGCACTCAGACGTCTCTCTCTCGTGTCTTAGAATAATGAGAATCCAGACAGCAATTACAGTAAACCAGACAGCACAAACATCTGGCGCCAAAAGCAGTTATCACATGTTTAAATTTAAACAACAGTTTATTTAATGAACATTTTATATAGCGAAGCTTTTTTGTTTAGTGTTTTAGTTAAAATAAACTAGTTAATCCATGAAAACTAAATTATAAACAAAAAATTTAATTTCCTTATGTTGAAAAATGACAAAGTTGTAGCCGTCATAGTCAAACCTTGAAAATACCTGTATTTGCAGTCTCATGCAATATTGTAAGATAGACTGCTGATCCCATTTTAAGGCAATATCTGTAAAACTGAATGTGTTGGTTAATGTTTAGAAGTGATCATGGTCATCTTAAATTGATCCCAAAAGTTGTGAAAAGTTTTATGTTTTCTAATGTTGGCTGAGGTGGACACCTTGGATTGAGTTGGCTCAAAAGTTAATCAGTCTTTTATAACATTCATACAAACARAAATTTATGATCATATATTTGACCAAAAGAAAAATCACAATTAAAGCTGTGGTCAATCTAAATCAGCAAATAATACAACTCTTTTAAAACACTCAAATTAATAACATCAATATTAACCCGTGTTGTGCAAGAAACAAGCATTATCAACGGCTACCTCATAGAAAACCACATGATGCTAATCTCTCCAGAACATTCAGGAAAAACACATTTATTTTCATGATTTACAAAAATTGATCTACACAAGTTCACACGTTTAATATTGCAATACCAAACAACTTACCATGTGGGACAAAGTACTTAACTGTAAATGTAGAAATTGCTTTTTTTAAAATAATTTCCGGTTGTGGTAATGTTACTTCCTGTTTCACACAAAGTCCTTCTGAAAAAACTAAACAGCCTACAGAGCCCCCTTTTGGAATGGAGGGAGACAACCTAACACCCCACTTCCACCAAAGACAAATTAAACCTTCATCCCTTTACCAAGATAAAAGAATATAGAGAGCAGTTGCGCACTTTTATTTTGAAAAGGAAAAGGCTGCGTTAATGTACAGATTTTATTATAAACAATGAAACTTTTTCAGTACATCTATTCATAACACAGAAGAAAACACAATATGTTACAAACTTTGTTTTGGTTCCCTTTTAAATAATTTTAAATCTGTCATATAAAAAGTGAGATTTCACCTCTGATATTTTTTCTGTAATTCATTCAATCATCAGTCCAATCACAAGAATCAGCAAAGGCATAGTTTCACGTTGACTACCTGTTCTATGCTAAATTTGACATATGTTCAGATTTCTCTTTTCACTCAGACGAGAAATGCTATTTATAAGTAAATGAACTCATGAAATTGTGTTTGAATTTTAGAAAATGATGATTTAAATTCCTAAACCTTTTGAGAATAAGTGATTTTGCTCCAGCCAAGCTTTTTTTTCCCTGCTTCTAAAATAAGTCGAAATCTTTCACACTTAAATCCTGCTGTACTTCTGCTGGAAAAATTGTGAATTACTTAATTGTCTTTGGCAGCAGAAAGTAGATTCTGTCACACCTAACATCGGATTGGAGCAAAGTCATTATGGGAACTGTGAAAGACCAGCTTTTCAGCACTTACTGTAGATCTTTCATTTACTAGTGCTTTTAATGCATTACATAGTCTTACGTCAAAAGCACAGAGTAGATGTTTCAGCATAGAAAGAAATAAGGCAAAGCACTTAGGACCACGGAATAGGACATAAATGTTTTGCACGATTACCAGGCTTTAGAAATTGTACCATGTGTYCAGTCTACAAACTACTTAGTAGTAGTAGGCATTTGTGACTAAACCATTCACCTGCTGAACGTTTCACAAAAACAACATGTAGATTTATCCTATTATACCTAATAGTTATAAAAATACATTACAAGGTCTTTGTCCTATCTCACCTATAATTAGTGCCATCTTTGTCAAACACAGGGGTTTTCTATGAAGAATATAAAATTTCTCTTCAGATTTGGAAAATGCAAATATAAAGATTTTATGTGTGTCCTAAAACTCATGGAATGTTTTTTGTTCTTTTCTTGTAACTGTAGAAAATTAACCARATTTGTCAAATCTTCTCTTCGAGGCCTCGTTCACATGGACAGGCTGTTTTCCCAAAATTAGCTTTTTATTTGTTATTGGTAAAAAAAAAAATTCTTGCAAACCCTTTCTGCTTYTCAAAGGTTTTGCTGGAGGATGAACTGGCATCTGCAAGAGAAAACATGCAACCTGTCATCACTGTTGCTACAGCTTTTATGGCTTGTAGGTTAGAAGGGAGGTGAGACTGCAGGGCTGGCTCGTGCCATACCGTCTATTTAATTTGTAATGGCAGAGAGTTTTAGAAAACTGAACAAGGGGCACAACCTGAAATCATGCCTAGAACACRAAATTGGCTGGGGCCGGCCGTGAGATTATGACATTGCTTTGAAAAGGTTGTGTTTTTGCTGTCGACACAAAAACACAATGTTGGTGTTCTTGTTTTTAAAAAAAAATACAGTTTTGTAATTCCCAAAAAGCTGTTTCAACATGGAAAACGCCCAGGATCTCAGTGCTGCTGGTCTTTGTTGATGTCCCATTGCTTCTATCAGCTTCTTAATTTGAATTCAGTCCTTTTGGCATCAAACCAAAACCCTTGAGGATTTTTTTCTTCTGTGTTTGAACTTTTTTTAATTTTTCGTCTTAATCCAAAGTTTGTATTTTGTTTTCCTAAACAAAATRTTTGAGTGAATAATTCTAAAATTAACATCACCGAAATTTTATTTAAAATAAAAATGTACTGTAAAAGCATCTACCTGATTTTAGTTATTTATTGTTTTCAACTTTTTTCTTTCAGCTGTTGGGAGCCAGAAACCTGCTGAGAATGCAGAGACATTCTCTCCTCCATCTCCTATTTATCCAGCAGTCAACTTTCAAATCTTCAACGCAGACCATGTGTTTCTGAGACAGGGCAGTCTGCGGCCCTCAGGGAACTCCAGTCTGAAAGTTCAAGCTAAGACTTTTCTCATCACCAGTCCAGGTGCTGGGATCCTCCAACCTGCTATCAAGGCATCATATGGCCCCTTAGCCGTAGACACCACCATCCCTCCTGACCTGCTCCTCAGTGGGCTCAGAATTCTACCGGTCAGTTTAGTCCGCCAAGTTCGTTCCTCGTCTCCAGTTGTCAAGATCCTCTTCCACATGCCTTCGGAAAGTAACATCACTTTCGGCCAAGAAACGCTTGGTTCCAAAGAAGAAAACGAGAAGAAAAATGGCGGGGATAAGGCCAAGGATGGAGCTTACTGCGTGACAGCTTATGCCTTCTGGGAAACGAGGGAAGTCCGCGGGGCTTGCCTGGTGCCTCCGGGGGGATTCTGCGTGGCGCAGCTGAAGCTGGAACCATCTTGGTTCAGCTCAGCCGGRAGATCTGGAAGCTCTAGTAAAGAAGCAGAAAAATCTGAGGGAGTTAAGGGACTTCAAGGGAGTCTTGTGGAAGTCTACTTCCAGAGCAGAAGGGACCAGACCGGCCAGTGCACTCCTCAAGATAGCCTGCAGCGAGTGGGAGTGGGACGAGGGAGAGACTCTGGAGGGTCAGGAACACCCATGAGAAGGATCGGGAGTGTCACCCTGATCAAAGCTCCGGTGGGAAACCCCACGTTTTTTCGACTCAGYCTGGGAAGTGCTGTAATGATTCAAACTTCTTCCAAGCCCCTGAAGACCACAGATGTGGCAACCTTTTTTGTCTTTCTGCCAAGTACATCTACTGTGGAGAATTTCACACTTAGGTAAGCGATGCGTACTTTTATTTTTTGTCATACTGCTTTTAAAAAGTATTTATTTTTGTAGTTCAAATGAGTTTTTATGATTAGCAACTGCAAAGTCAGGTTTTAAATTTCTGACTTTCCAAATTGTGTAAAACCCTGAGCACTGCTTTACTCCTGCTGTMTGTGTGTATAATAAAAAGTCACTGCAATGAATAAAAGCGCATAGACGTGGAGGTGATGAATGTGGTGCCTGGATGCCACTAAAAATAGTTTACTGTTTAACTCTTTAAGTCAAATTAAATTAAATCAAATTTGGGTTGGCGCTTGTTGATGAATTTTGAGATTTATCTGTTTTACACTAGAGGATGTAAGTTTATTTTTAGATGTAGGTAAGTTAGTTAAAAAGGCAAATATGCGGGAATTGTGTTCAGCTAAAGCACGTTTCAAATTCAAGGCGTCCGGGCCAAGTGTGGCCTGCGAGTAACTTCTGTTTTAAACACACAAATAAATCAAARTTTACTTAATTTAATCAATGTTAAACTTTAAAWTMACAATTCAATGCAYCAAAATACATTTAAAAGGTGAAAGATAATAGGACCGGTACAGCCCCGCCTTTGTCAGTGTACCCCAGGGCASCTGTGGCTACAGTGRAGCTTACCATCATTAGTGTGTGAATTTGTGTGAATGAGTGAATAATTTTAGTGTAAAYCACTTTGGGGTCCCCATGGGGCTTGGTAAAGTGCTATATAAGTTAAGTACATTTCCCATTTACCATAATAATACTTRCTGCCCCAGATCTGTTGGCTTCAAACAACCGTGACCCCTTTAGCAATTTAGCTGAATAGCTTTGTCCTAATATCTTAAAATAAGCTGCTGTAAAGCCAGCAGTGACCATAAACTACATCTCCCATAATGCATGTCAATTTTGAATGGGAACTCCTTGTTGGYAAGTGGGAGCGTTCAGAATTTAAGGCAGCAGCAAGTAAAACTCTRTGACTTTTAATAGRATTCCTGTTCTGTATTATTTAGTTCACCTTAAGTCAGCCGTACACAAAGTAATTTTCAGTGTTCATAAAAGGACATGTTAAAACGCTGATTCTATGCAGGAAATACCACYTAGAGCTCACTTGTTGACATTTCCTGTTTAGCRGAAATTAAACAAGAAACATCAAAGTTAAATYCAACTGGCCCTTTGATGGCGACCATTATGGTCTCCTTGACACCCTATGAGCTAAAGTTTACCCAGAAGTGTTGGTTTATTATACAAAGAAAACCCAACAATCACTGGTCTCTGTAGCCAACACAACCCAGATTAGAGTTTAGAAGGAATTACATAAAAATCAATTGTTTTCTGAAACATTTACAATGCTTGTAACCACACTCAGTATTCAAGATGTATGGTATYTTTTGAGCATATTCATGAAGGATAAGCTCCATGCATTTAAACGATTACTTAAGGCTCTTAAGCACTGATGGGACTCATCATCAAGGCCATGCTGTAAAACGCATGAACGCCAGAGTGACTTACGTTGTCTGCCAGTTACCGGCTGCATAAATTTCCAACACATCCTGCCTTCCCCAGCATCGCGGTTAGTGGGGGGAGTTATGGGGAGCACTCTTCCATAAACAGGAAAATAATTGGCAAATGATTCACTGGTTTTCATATCTCAACATCCCACTAACATTTCAACAAGGTTTTGAGGTTATTTGACTTCATAAATATTGCATCTGTTTAATGGAGCAGGAAAACAAATAACTAATCTTCTTAACTCCTCTGAGTAAAACTGAACTTAATATAAAAGCAGTCCTGCCATGATGAGACACACTTCCATCTGTTTGCAAAGTGTCTCTGTGCTGCTGCTGCTTCAATGCACATGGCTGGGCGGGGTCAGCTCTTCATCATCACAMTGCCTTAGATCAATAAGATGCATAAATAGTTTCCTTAAAAATGAWATAAGCAGAGTAAAATTTAAATGTATATAGAAAATATAATCCTCTGTCAAGATGGAAAAATAGTACAAATACATCCGATTCTAAACTGAGAAAAACTCGTAAAATAAACTTTTTACATTAAATTTTAAATCCCAATGAGTGGTTTTAAAATACTATTCTGGTTATGATCCTCCTCAGACTCTATGTGTTTATACACCATTTCATATTTTTATTTCCCACTAAATGTTAATCACGCCAATAGAAATTATATAAAAAAAACATTCAAAAATGGATTACTATGAAATTAAATTTTCATAAAGAATATAAATTATAAATATAAATGTGTAAAAAAATAGCTTGTTGAGTACGTTGTTACAGAAATCTCTCGTTGACTCCTTACTTGATGTTCAGGTCTGGTTCTGTCCAGTTAAAAATGCTCAGTTTTCTAATTAACTTTCCAACWTGTTAGTATCAGTTTTAGAGGACTAACAGGCTTTCAAGCATATGAGAAATAAAGCAAAAAATGTATTTTGTGCCATCAACTTAATTTAAAGTTTCTATGGTACTATCATGTTGTCAGATCAGTGGGCCTCATGCAAGAACATGTTCGTATTCTT